AGCTCACAGCAACCTCCAACTCCTGGGCTCAAATGAGTCTCCTGCCTTACCCTCCCAAGTAACTGGGACCACAGGCGCCTGCCACAACGCCCAGCTATTTTTTGGTTGCAGCTGTCGTCGTTTGGCGGGGCTGGGCTGGATTCAAACCCGCCACCTTAGGTGTATGTGGCTGGTGCCTTAGCCACTTGAGCCACAGGCGCCAAGCCGCAGGGCCTTTCAAGACCTGTAGACTGCAGCCGGCCTGCAGCAGCAGCTGTCCCTGGTGATGTCATTAGGTCCTGGGCAAGGCCTAAACACACTCTAGTGAGCAGCTCCAAACTTTTGGTGACTATGCTGCAAAGTTACTTGAGGATTTTTAATATTTTTGGAGACAGAGTCTCTCTTGCTCCCTGTAGAGTACTATTGTGTCACAGCTCACAGCAACCTCAAACTCTTGGGCTCAAGCAATTCTTTTGCCTCACCCTCCCAAGTAGCTGGTACTATAGGTGCCTGCCACAACATCCGACTTTTTTAGTAGGCTGGTTTTGAACTCATGATCTGAAGCAATCCACTCTTATTGGCCTCCCAGAGTGGAGGATTACAGGAGTGAGCCACTGTGCCGGCCTTATTCAAGGATTTTAAAAAATAAGGCTGATGGGGTGGCTCACGATTATAATTCTAACACTCTGGGAGGCCAAGGCAAGCAGACTGCTTGAGCTCAAGAGTTCGAGACCAGCCTGAGCAAGAGTGAGACCCTGTTTCTACTAAAAAAAATATGAACCCCCCCCCAAAAAAAATCTAGCTGGGCATGGTGGTACATGCCGGTAGTCCCAGCTACTCAGGAAGCTAAGGCAAGAAGATCGCTCAAACCTCTGAGCTATGACACCATGGCACTCTACCCAGGGTCTCAAAAAAATTAGTCTTAACACATGTACATGATAAATTTCAAGAATTTCTGTACCAGGAAGTATGGTAGAGAAGGAAAGATGGGCAAACAAAAAGGAAGTTCTGTATTCCTCTTAGAATCTTGCTTTTTCAGTCTCTGGGACAGTAAGGCCACTTTATAATACTGTTGTCAGGAGCCACATGTGGCTAGTGTCACTGAGGAACAAAATGTCTCACAAAGGTCTGTTGGATAGTGTTAGTCTGAGGCATTCCTGCTTATTTGAGTCTTGTCCTTTGGAATTCAATTTTCATTTTAATTCAAAATTAAAATCTGATTTGATTGGCCAGGTGCAGTGGCTCATGCCTGTAATCCTAGCACTCTGGGAGACTGAGGCAGGTGGATTGCCTGAGCTCACGGGTCCAAGACTAGCCTGAGCAAGAGCAAGACCCCATTTCTAAAAATAGCCAGGCACTGTTGCAGGTGCCTATAGTCTCAGCTACATGGGAGGCTGAGGCAAGAGAATCACTTGAGCCCAAGAGTTTGAGGTTGCTGTGAGCTATATGATGCCAAGGCACTCTACTGAGGGAGGCATTCTAAGAGTCTGTCTCAAAAAAATTTTTTTTGATTTGATTTTGTTCACTGGATGGCTGAATAAATGAAAAGCTCCAAAAAGGGTTAAGTTTTTGTCTTTGGGTGAATGGATATTCAGCCCCAGGGAACACCATGCCTTCCCATAGCACAGAACACACCTGGGGCAGGATCTCCTGGGCCAGGGCTCGTGCCCGGTGGTAGGCAGCATCCCCCTCCTCGTTCTGGGCCACCGCGTGATTCACCAGCCCCAGTGCATGGGCCTGCTCTCCACTTAGTCTTCGGCCCGTGAAGATCAGCTCTTTTGCTAGAGCCACCCCCAGGCAGCGAGGCAGCCTCTGAGTCCCTCCTGCCAGGTGGATGGGTCGGGGTGAGGAACTGGCGTTGGAATTGGGAGTCCAGAGAAGGCTCAGCTTGGGAGTCAGCCAAGACTTCTCAGAGAAGCAGACAGACTCAGGACGGAAGGGCAGGGCCCCGAACACAGGGCAAAAGAGGAAAGCAGGGCAGGATAGAGTGGGACTGGGCAGGTGGAAGGGGGTGGTAGGTGCTATAGGTGACGTTACCTGCCCCTGGGAGGAGCCCTCGAGTGGTCTCGATCAGTCCCATGACAGCTGAGGAAGCTGCTTAAACAGAACAGAGTGAGTCTGCTCTGCTAATCCCTAGGGAGAAAAGACCCCTGCCCCTGGTCTACTCCCCCCACCAGCTACTTCTCTCCAGATGCTGCCTTTGGAAGAGCTCTCACCTGAGCCAGGCACCCCTCATCCTGCCATGCCCTTTGCTGGAGTTGTGTGTCACCAGCAAGTGTCACCCTTCCTGAGCCTAAAAGCTGGGGAAAAATGATTGCCCCTCTTCTGCTGCTAAGGATTAGAACAAGGAAGGGGCTCCCAGAAGATGCCAGATAACCTATTTGTAGGTTGATAGATCCCCCTTAGCTCTGGCCTGGCCTAGAGTGTCAATGACTCCTGCTCCTACCATGGTGGTCCCTCTCAGCTTTGTCACGCCCTGAAGTGTCCCTGATTTGGAGTCTATGTCCTGAGTTCCACCTCCTCTGAGAAGCTTCCCTTGACGGATCTTTCCCTCTCCCCATAGGCCTCCCTCTCCTTAATCCCCTCAGTCCAGGCCATGTGAACTGTGTAATATCAAGCTCATCAGAGGCTTTATTAACACTTCCACCCTCTTGATCCTCATGGAAACACTAAGTCAGCTGCCTAAACATGGGCAAGTCAGAAGTTGGAGCTGGGACCAAGCTGGTATTTTGGAGCCGGCACCTGGTCAAGTCCTTGTCTTTGACCTGCATTGTGTAGTTAGAAGTGACCCTCATGCCTAGAGGTAGCACATTTGAAATGTTACTCCTGGGTTTGCAGGAGAAAGCAGTGGGGGATAAGAGTGGCACCCTAACGGCACTCAGGCTCCATCTAAGTACCTCCAAGAAGGGCTCCTCACCACCAAGGCAGTCACCCTAAAAAGTGATCAGTTACCGTGTACCCCCGAAAATAAGACCTACCCAAAAAATATGCCCTAGCAGGATTTCTATGCATTTGTTAAATATAAACCCTACCCCGATAATAAGACCTAGTGATAGGCGTGGCTATGCAGCGTATCATGCATTTCAGCATGGAGAATAAGACATCCCCTAAAAATAAGCCCTCTAAAATAAATATAAGACAGTGTCTTATTCTGGGGGAAACACGGTATCTTCGTTCCTTCCACTTTTCAGACAAAGCTCAATTGCTCAGAACAAGTAATGAGCTCAATTGCTCAGAACAATCAGCTCTGCCAGTGACAGTCTCTATGGCTCACGTTTGTTCAAAACATTATAAATAAATCTGACTTGGACAGAATCGGACGGTTGGACATTCATCTTTGTCTTCCTCGGCTTTCCCTCTCTATAATCCTTCTACTGTCAGCAGTTGCTCTGAGGGTGGTAGGATCATTCTTGAAATGAGGGTGGCAAGTTTTGCCTAAGTCCCTGTGTCCCCTACACCACCTGTTTTGCTCCTGGTTGGAAGTTCAAGTGCAGTCACTGACTGCAGAAGCTCCAGACTTCCCCAGCTTCACTCATCCTCCCATCCTCATCCTCCCCCCCACCTTACTCCCTAGTCAATACCTGCCACTCGGAGGTCACAGGCCAAGGCAAGCTCCAGGCCTCCACCCAAGGCAAACCCATCCATAGCTGCAATGGTGGGTGCAGGGAAGGTTGCTGTGGAGATGAAGGAGGGCTCAGCTGCAGGGCCCTGGCAGGACCAGGACAAGACTCAAGGTTGAGGAGGGGGGTGAGCTGGTCCCAGGTTCAGGGATCACCTGCTACCTCAGCCAGGTTATCTGAGAAGTCAGTATTCCTTCCCATCAGGGAAACTTCTGGGATCGGCTGGGGAATGAGAACAGGGAGATGGGCTGGGTGATCCCCACACAGGCCCACTCCTGCTGGCCACCCAGGGCCCTGCCTTCTGCCCGTAAGCCTCGGTACTCCATGCTGAGACCATAGAACCGAATCAGACATGAAGCTCAGTCTAAGAGGGAAGGCCAACATGCAATCAGGCAGTGATTTCAGTTCTCTGACAAAAGGAAGCTTGGAAGGTGTGTCAGGAAGGCTTTCTGGAGGAGAAGCGAATGGACGAGTACAAGTCAGGTGGCCGAGAAGGTGTATTCGGTATTCCAGGCAAAGGGAACAGTAATTGTCAGAGCCTGAAAGCACGCCGGGTCTGAGCCCTGAGGTCAGGATGCAGCACAAAGACTGAAGAGGCCCAGCTCCTCCTCTAGGAAAAATGCCCTCCGAGCCCTCCAGTCCCTCTCCTCTAGATTCCTTGTCCCCATCCCCCTGGGAGAGTCACCTGTCTTCCCACAGAGTTCAAAACAAAACACTCAGCTTAGAGGAGGGGGTGGGGTGGGGCTGGCATCTGCAGGGGTCCCAGACTCCCTCCTCCAACCCCCCCAGGCCCTCACCAATCTCATCCATCAGGCCTCGGAGTCTCTGGACAAAGTTGCCCACTTGTGCCTCGCTCATCTGCTCCCGCTCCTTTAGGTCTGCACCTGCAGATGGCAAGGGGTTGGCGCCAGCCCTCGGGAAAATGGCTCGTTAGGGAATCCGAGCAAAAGAGAGTGAGGAGAAGCCAAAGAGGAAGGAGAAAGACTGGAAACCCAGTCAAGGCCGGGGCTGGGGGAAGAAACATTAAACAAGGAGAGGTGGGGCAGTGCCTGTGGCTCAAAGGAGTAGGGTGCCAGCCCCTTATACCGGAGGTGGCAGGTTCAAACCCAGTCCCAGCCAAAAACTGAAGGAAAAAAAAGGAGTAGGGCGCTGGCCCCATATACCAGAGGTGGCAGGTTCAAACCCGGTCCCAGCCAAAAACCGCCAAAAAAAAAAAAAAACCACAAAAAAACAAGGAAAGATGTGGGCAGTGCCTGTGGCTCAGTAGGTAGGGCGCTGGCCCCATATACCAAGGGTAGAGGGTTCAAACCGAGTCCTGGCCAAACTGCAACAAAACGTAGCCAGGCGTTGTGGTGGGCACCTGTAGTCCCAGCTGCTTGGTAGGCTGAGGCAAGAGAATCAGCTAAGCCCAAGAGCTGGAGGTTGCTGTCAGCTGTGACCCTACGGCACTCTACCGAGGGCAACAAAGTGTCTCTCTGTCTGTCTGTCCAAAAAAAAAAAAAGGTTAAAATGGGTTGGGATAGCAGCTCATGCCTGTAATACTAGCTCTTTGGGAGGCTGACTAGCATTTTGAGAGGCTAAGACAGGAGGATTGCTTGAGGGCGGAAGTTGCAGACCAACCTGGGCAATATAGCAAGACCAGTATAAATTTTTTTTAAAGACAGAGTCTCACTTTGTTGCTCTCGGTAGAGTGCTGTGGCATCACCTCCAGCTTTTGGGCTTAGCTGATTCTCTTGCCTCAGCCTCCTGAGTAGCTGGGACTACAGGTGCCCACCACAACACCTGGCTATTTTTTTGTTGCAGTTGGGCCAGGGCCAGGGCCAGGTTTGAACCCGCCACCCTCAGTATATGGGGCCAGAGTCCTACTCACTGAGCCACAGTCATCACCCACTATAAAAAATTTTGCCTCTACAAAATTTACAAAATTAGCTGGGAGTGGGGGTGTATCTGTAGTCCCAGCTTGGGAGGCTGAGACAAGAGGATCACTTGAGACCAGGAGTTAAGGGTTGCAGTGAGCTATAATTGTACCACTGCACTCCAGCCTAGGTGACAGAGTGAATTTTATTTCTCACTCACACACACACACACACA